GCGTTAAGGCCCTCAACTTTTGCCTTTCTCATTCTCTAACTCAAATAGTCAACTTTCCAACTCGTTTCCCAGACAACCCTAATCATTTACCTTCTCTACTCGACTTATGTCTTGTTTTGGATCCTAGTCAGTGCTCAATTTCTCCACATTCACCCTTAGGTGCTTCTGATCACAGTTTGATCTCTCTAAAACTATTATCAAATTCTTATACTTCATCAGAATCCCCCTATCATCGTACCACATACAACTACCTTAAAGCTGACTGGGTCTCTTTCCGTGATTTTCTTCGTGATGGCCCTTGGGTAGAAATCTTTTGTCTTCCTGCTGACAAATGTGCTTCTTACATAACTTTGTGGATTCAGGCTGGCATGGAATCTTTTATTCCCTCTCGACGATTCCAGGTCAAGCCTCACTCTTCTCCTTGGTTTTCCTCACATTGCGCTGCGGCAATTTCTAATCGAAACCGTTACTTTCATATCTATCAGCAAAACAATTCTCCAGAAAACAGACATCTGTTCACTATCGCCAGAAACCATTGTAAAAAGGTTTTGTCTGACGCGAAAGCTCGCTATTCTCAGGTCATTAAATCTGGTATCTCATCACAAAAATTAGGCTCTCGAGACTTCTGGAGAATCTTTAACAGTATTAATAATAAGGGCAAATCTGCTTTTCCTTCTCTCTTGTATGGTTCAGATTTTGTCACCTCACCTAAAGACAAAGCTGAATTGTTTGCTAAGAACTTTTCATCAATATCATCTCTTGATTCCACTAGTTGCGTTCTACCTGACATAGCCGTCAAACAGGTTGATCCCTTGCTTGACATTCGCATCACTTCAGCTTCTGTATCAAAAGTAATTTCCTGCTTAGACTCTTCAACAGCTTGTGGTCCTGACAACATTCCTGTTGTAGTCTTGCAGAAGTGTTCTCCGGAGCTTTCATCCATACTTTCAAAACTATTTAACAAGTGCTTATCAGAGTCTTGTTTTCCATCATGCTGGAAAGCAGCATCTGTTATCCCTATTTTCAAAAATTCCGGAGAGCGATCTGATTCATATAACAACCGTCCCATTTGTCTTCTTCCTGTCATAAGCAAGGTTTTTGAATCTTAAATCAACAAACACTTAATCTCTCATCTTGAATTGAACTTTCTGATCATCAATATGGATTTCGATCTTCTCGTTCTACAGCTGATTTGCTAACAGTAATAACCGATAGGTTTTACCGTGCATTAGATAGAGGTGGAGAGGCTAAGGCTATCACACTTGACATTTCTAAAGCTTTTGATAAAGTTTGGCATGCTGATCTTCTCCATAAGCTTTCTTCTTATGGTGTATCTGGTAACATCTTTAAGATTATTGAGTCCTTTCTTTCCAATCGTAGTATAAAAGTTGTCCTCGATGGACAACACTCTTCTTCACATCCTGTAACTTCAGCGGTTCCTCAAGGTTCAATCCTTGGCCCTATACTCTTTTTAATTTACATTAACGATCTTCCAGATATTCTCACATCTAAGGTGGCATTATTCGCTGATGACACTACCATTTACTCTTGTCATTATAAGAAGCCTACACTCTCTGATTGCCTGGAGGGGGTATCTGAGCTTGAAAAGGATCTCACTTCTGCTACAGCATGGGGCTCACAGTGGCTGGTGGACTTTAATTCAGATAAAACTCAATTTTATTCGGTCAATCGTTATCGTAATAATTTAGATCTTCCTATAATTATGAATGATAATGTACTAGATGAGTCATCTACCATTCATCTTCTAGGATTAACTCTTACTTCTGATCTTTCTTTTAAACCGTATATCAAATCCATTGCAAAATTAGCATCTGCTAAGGTTGCATCTCTTTATCGAGCTCGACACCTTTTTACTCCAGATTCTATTCTCTATCTCTATAAATCTCAAATCCGTCCCTGTACGGAATACTGTTGCCACATCTGGGGTGGATCTTCTAATGATGCTCTTTCTCTTTTAGACAAGGTGCAAAAACGCATTGTAAACATAGTTGGACCTGCTCTGGCAGCCAATCTCCAACCTTTGTCACATTGTCGTGATGTTGCTTCTCTTTCTCTTTTCTACAAATACTATAATGGGCACTGCTCTAAAGAGCTAGTGTCCCTTGTGCCATCTACTAAAATTCATTCTTGTGTTACTCGCCATTCAATTAAGTCTCATCCTTTTTCTGTGACTGTTCCTAAGTGCCTCAAAAACTCTTATTCTTCTAGTTTTTTTCCTCGAACGTCAGTTCTTTGGAATTCCCTTCCTTCATCTTGCTTCCCTGATTCATATAATTTGCAATCTTTTAAGTCATCAGTCAATCGTTATCTTGCTCTACAGATTTAGTCTTTTCTCTTCCAATAACTTCCAACTCTTATAGTGTATGTTAATTGTATGTCCAACACCAAAATCTCATTTATGGAACATTATAGAACATGAATTGAATAATATTCAGATAGAAACTGTTAAAAAATTAATTGAAAGAATGTAGAGAATAGTTGAAGCAGTTATTAAATCAAAGGGTGGTTTTTTTTGACGAAAAGAAAACTTAATTATTGTAATGATTTTTATAAACTTTTATTGCATAAAACTGACGGATAATATATTTATATTGAAAATGTATAAAAAGTATAATTTTTATTGATTTTAATTAAAAAATTCAATAACATAGTTACATATTGTTGTTTTTTTGAAAAACCCTCCATTGTCCTAACTTCCATGAGTGGGAGTGTGTGTATATATATATATATATATATATATATATATATATATATATATATATATATATATATATATATATATATATATATATATATATATATATATATATATATATATATATATATTATTAATAACTTAATAAAATAATAACATAAGTTATTATAAATTTGATTTATTTTTTTAAACTTGAAAAAAGTTAACAAAAATTGATTTGAAAGCATATTTATTTAAAAGATTTAATGTTTCTATTGATTGTTTATTATATAATAATATTTTTGATTTCATGATCAACTTGTGCATTGTGTTGACAAGTCAAAATTGATATTTTGGTTTAAATCTGTCTCCTATTGGGTGCCTGACATACCTAATTCCTTCACTACTGAATAGCATAAACTTTTAATTTATCAGAATAACGGAGTTTTGACCAGACATTAACTGACTAACTAATATCTTGAGCAAATTTTATTCTGGTTTTTAAATTTCTTTTTAAGTTTCTGTTGTAATCGATACTTAGTTGTATTGACGCTACAGTTTGTGCCATGAAACTGATGGATAAATGAATTAGGTTCGACATCAGTCTTGCAAGGATTATTCTTGCAATACTTTCTAATAATCTATTAGTCTTTTTAGTTGTAACTTTACATTTTTCAAAGCAAAATTTGGTTTCAATAGTTATGCGTAGACAAAATCTTTTCATAACATGACTTATTCGTTGGTTAGAAACTTTGTAAAGTTCAGAAGTTTTGATTAACCGTTAAATTTTACAACCTTTTGGTTTGTATTTTAAATTGAAATAATATAGAGCATGTTTGGTTAAAATTTCAGCTTATTTGAAAAAATTAGTGAAAAGTTATGCATTAAAAAATGAAAAAAAGTCAGTGCTTCCAAACTTTTGCACACTACTGTATATATATATATATATATATATATATATATATATATATATATATATATATATATATATATATATATATATATATATATATATATATATATATATATATATATATATATATATATATATATATATATATGTATATATATATATGTATATATATATATATATATATATATATATATATATATATATATATATATATATATATATATATATATATATATATATATATATATATATATATATATATATATAGAGAGAGAGAGAGAGAGAGAGAGAGAGAGAGATGACTCTAAACTTTTAAACTACGATCGTCTCTTTAATAAACTTTATTTAAGAATCATCTAAGTTAATACATTCATAAAGATTTTTTTGAGAAGAAAAAATGACAAACTTTTCAATTAAAGCCAGCCGTTTAAATTAAATAACTTTAATCTTTACTAATGTTTTTATATTACAATTACTCCTTTTTTGCTTGCTTTTGAATAAAGTAACAATTCACTGCTAATGATTTTTTCACATAAAGTATTAATGTATTTTTCTTTAGTCTTTAAATAAAAAAATTATTGATAAAAAATATACTCAAAATATAACAAAGTTTTTATGCAAGAATGTTAATAAAAGTATATATAAATTTTTTTATAATAGTTTTTTTTCTTTAGTCATTAAATAAAAAAATTATTAATTTAAGTTAACAAATTAAATTATTAACAAATTAAATTGATTTATCAATTAAAGGATAGTTTTGTTCATTAATTTTTGTTTTCATCTTCATTTTTCCTCATTTGCTTTTTGACATTAGATTTCTGACAAAAGAAACAGTTTTATTATTATTTTTTTGTTTATATTACTACAAAGAATTGTCAAGTTTTTTTTGTTGTTATCTTTTAAATGTCCGTATTTATTAAAAATTGTTGGAAGTTGTTACTTTATTTAAAAGGGTTTGGCTTAGTCTAAATAATAAAAAAAAACATGTTATTTTTATTCGCAAGTCTATTGTCATTATTGTGAAATATGTTCCCAGCGCTCGAAATAGTTTTTCAAAACTTGCCGATCAAATGTAATTTTTTGACAAAAACAGCTTATTTTCCCTTGAATTTTTCTAAATTTCCCTAAAAATAGCCGATCATTGATCGTTGATCGGCTGTTATTTTGAGCGCTGTGTTCCCCCCTTTCCTGACCAAGCCTATATATATATATATATATATATATATATATATATATATATATATATATATATATATATATATATATATATATATATATATATATATATATATATATATATATATATATATATATATTTATATGCAGAGTGTGGTGTGTATTTACTTATTAAATTTAAAATAATTAACTTTTTTTTATTTATATTTTTTAAAGACATGGAAAGCTATGTCTTTTTACTGGGTTTGTGTGTGATACAAAGCGTATTTAACCTACAAGAACCTGTTTTGAAAAGAGACGTAATTATCCAGAAAGGTATTGCTTTTAAATAACATAACTAACAAAATATGTTATAGCTAACGTAACTGTATTTAATATAATTTTTTTTATAACTATGTTAGTTATTTATATATTATTTATTATTTACTTTATAAAAAAAAGTCAGTTACTAATTATTCTATGATTATGATCTTAACCTAAAATTTAAGACAAATCATATAATAAACAATAAAATTATAATTGCTCAAAATATATAATAAATAATAAAATTATAATTATAAATAAATATGATGATATGAGTCACTGATTACCTTTTTCTGGATATATCTCGAATTCCAAATATTTCCAGATTTTTCTTCCTGGAAAAACTTTTAGTTTTGTCTGCATAATTTTCTGTTAATACAAGTTTAGTTAGTACATTCTGTTAATACAAGTTAGACTACTATTATTTTTATTTTATACAGTAAATTTTTTTATTCAAGTTATTTTAATTTCTTTATTTCCCATACAAAATGGTTGAGTTAACCATAGAAATTTTCTGAATAGGATTGAAAAAGAAGTTTGACTAAAAAAAGTTTGAGTTATCTAAGGTTCAACTTAACTGGAAAATTTTACCAGTAATCAATTAATTGATTTTAAGGGATCTAATGAACCTGTTCGAGATAAAAAAGTTTATTTTAATTAGTGTATGACTTGGTGAGGATTAACTGTAATTGATTTTTAATTTTTTCATACAAAAAAATCAGACAATTTCAAAAAGTTTTCAAAAACAAAGTAAAAAAGAAAATAAGGAAAAATATATTATGGAATCTTTCGCAAAATATTTTTGGGATTTTTTTAAAGATTTACATTGTCATCTATATTTATTTGCAGAAGTATTAAATTAAGTCACTTTTTTAAAAAACATTAAAAATTCTGAGAAATTTTATAACTGATTTTTTTAATGATATCGTTTTTCTATAATTAACTGTTTTTTATATATTTATTTTACGTTTTTAATTTAATTTAATATATATTTATCTTATTTAAATGCTATTTAAAACCACAATAAAAATCACAATAAAAATCACAATAAAAATCACAATAAAAATCACAATAAAGAGAGTTCAAATTCCGTGAAACTACTATTTATAAACATCCCTTTTCTTTTATGTGTTTCACAACTAAATTCTTGAATCTCTTTTTGTCAAGCAACTTCAATTCATTTGGTAATTTGTTGTATAATTTTATATTGTTGCAAAGGATTGACTTTTATCCACTTTTCTTTTTTTTGAATTTATAAGTGATAGTTTGCTGCATTTCTTGTGCAATAATTATGTCTTTCGCTGTTTTTTTATACAAAATTCTTGGAAGACATCCATTATATATAGCTAAATTGTATTTTGTATCAAAGTCAATACTTTCACTTGAATATTTTCTTTTACAGATAGCCAGTCTAATCTAAGCAACATGTCTTTACTATGTGTAAACCAGTCACATTTCAATATTGTTCTTATAGCTTTGTTTTGTAGCTTCTGTAGTATTTTTATATCATTTGTATTTGCATTTAAGAATAATGAGGCACAATATTCAAAATGAGGTGCAATAACTGTATTAAAATGAGGTGCAAAAACTGTATAAATGTTTTTGTCCACCTTGACAGATATATAGCGACTCTGGTAAAATACCCAGTAATCTTAGCAATTTTATTTGCAATAAGTTTAATGTGTTCAAAAAAATTCAAATTATTGTCAATTTTAATACCCAGGTATTTGACAGATTCACTGAATTTAACTCTTTCATTTTCCAAAATGATATATATGTTAGGATATTTTGCAGTGATACTAGAATGTTTCACTTTAGAGCTTGTAATCAGCATACCGATCGACTTACTTGCATTCAGTTTCAGTCAATTTCCATTAATCCAGGTAGCAACTACTTTCAAATATGAATTTAATTTTATCATAGATTCTTCGTAATTATTACCTTCAATGCAAACTAATGTGTCATCTGCAAAGAGATTGATGTTTACATATATGTTACAACTGTTAATATCATTAATGTATATTATGAATAACAGGGGTCCTAGTACTGACCCCTAAGGCACACCTACGTCACAGGGTAGTTCCGATGATAACTGATCACCAATTCTTACTCTTTGAGTTCTTCCTGTTAATTAATTTTCAATCCATTGTAGTATGCCTTCCATTTTATAACACTTTAATTTTTCAAACTATACTTCCCTATTGATAGTTTCAAATGCTCTCTTTAAATCTAACATAACTGTGATGACAAACATGTCAGCATCAATTGCTGCCCTCCATTTTGAAATGAGTAATTAAGCTGCTGTTTCAGTGGAGTGATTTTTTCTAAAACCAAATTGATTTTCATTAAAAAGCTTATTTTCTTCAAAATAAGTAAACAATTGTATATGTGCACATAGTGCACATATACAATTGTCTACTTATTTTGAAGCAGTGTATGAAAAAATGCTTATATTCAAGTATTTTTTCATACACTGCTAACATATTTAGTGGTCTCATATCTTGTGGTAACTTGGGAGATGTCACTTTTGGTATAGAAATTATAGTAGATCTTTTCCAAGTTTTAGGTAAAAAATCTGTTCTTAAAGACAAATTATTTATTTTCAGCAAATTTAAACTAATGACTGGGTAGACTTTTTTAAAAATTGGTATATTCATATCTTCACACATACTTTTTTTGTCTTTTAAATCAATTACTATTTTGTCTAGTTGGTTTTTAGAAATTTCTCTGAATTCATTTGTTCCATTCACATGATAAGGTATTTTTTTGTGATCAGAAGCCACATATTTATTCAACTTTTTTATTGATTTTTCAATATCGATAATACTCTGAATAAGAAATTTATTGTATTTATCAGCAATAGATTTATTACTTGAATTCTCAAACTTGACATCTTCCCAAATATCAAATTGAGCTTTACATTTAGTTTCAGTTTTTAAAGTTTTCCACATTGTAACATTATCGCCTTTAAACCTATCAATTTTAGCTTTATAATAGTGGGCTTTAAATTTTCTCAATAGGTAGGTTTTGATATTTCTTAATTTTTTATAAATTTTAAATTGTTCAAAGCTACTTTCTTCCCTTAAACCAAGTAATCTCATTGTTTTAAATTTACTCCACTCTAGATTTTCTTATTAAAAAAAAAAAAAGGAGTAGCCTCCTTGACTGTAGTGGCCCCTCAGGCCTTGGGGAGGTAAATAAATAAATAAATAAATAAAAATTTACTTGTTGCCAATACATTTTGATTGTTCATTCATTTATTGTGGAAATTTCTATTAATATCTGTGATGTTTGGACTTCCATTTTTATGGTTTCTTGAATACTATTAATGAATTATTCAGCCATTTCATTGATGTTAAGTTTCCTAAATTCCACCTCTTTTTCTTTAAGTTTAAATAACACCTGATTTATTTTATTATAGTCAATTTTGTCATATAATTTTATTTCTTTAGAACGAAGTAGCTTATTCTTCACATTACAATTCTTTTTTACATTATATTGATACTTAGACACAACCATTTCATGAACTGAGATTTTATGTGATTCATTTTGTATAATTTCAAGTATTTTGTATAATTTCAAGTGATAAATTACTTAAAAACAGGTCGATTACTTTACTTTAAATTTGAGTAATTCTTGTAGGTAAAGTATCATTATTGATTATTCTTAGACTTAATTTTCTTATTACTTTAATGAAACTTTCAGAATAAGGTGAGCTTCACTCAGCCAAATTTCTATAGTTCCATGTAATTATTGCAGATTTTATGTAGAACGCCTTTATAAAATTATCCACAAAAATTTTCTTTATTAGACCTATTGCAAACAAATGCGTTTACAATTTCATGTGTTCCTCAAACAATTAAAATTAAATTTTCTAGAATGTTTCTAAAATTCATATATATAGGTGAAATTTCCATAGTTCCATTAATTTGTTTTGAAGACTTAATAAGAGTTAATTGAAGTCTGATTAAGATTTTTAAATTTGTTTGTTTTATATGAAAGTTTTGTGTATTTTTAATTAAGATTTGTTATTCAATTATAACAGTGTTACACGGAAAAGTGATAAATGAGGAAGAAAAAGCAAAAATTGTTGCTTACAAAGATATGAGCTTGTCCAATCGGCAAATTGCAAAGAAAATGAAAAGGTCTCATCATGCAGTGAACAATTTTATAAATTTAGGTATAAATTACAACAAAAATCACTTTAAGGGCAGAAATAAAAATACAACCAAAAGGCATCATTCTTCTATTTTGCGTTTGGCAAAATACAAGACAAATAAAGATTGACAAATAAAGATTGAAACTGAATTACAAGACGTGTTCAACAAATTTTGTCAAAATCAGGACAATTCCAACGGAAAAGAATGATCACAAAACCACCATTGACAAAAAAACATAAAAGTGCAAGATTTAAGTACCACATGACATGGGATGAAAAATGGGAAAATGTTATTTTTTCATGTGAAAAAAAGTTTAACTTAGATGGGCCTGATGAACATCTAAGTTAAACTTTTAAATAAAACATCTCTCAATGTCATAAGATCTGTGCGACATATATGAACTATATTGTTATTTTTTAACTTTCTTAGAATAATTGTTAGAAAACCTTCACCAATTTCTACACCATTGGGTATCTGTAACAATCCAATAGGTATAAAAACAATTGATTTACAAGAGTTTTTTTGACACTGTCTAACATGGCTATGCCAATATCTTCTTGAAGCAAACATCAAAGAATGACTACTAAAACTAACATCATCTTTCACTTTAGAAAAAGGTTCTCTGTCATATTGTGGTTTCTGTTTCCTGGCTTTAGCCTGATTAACTTAATATATACCAAGTCTTTTGGAAAGCTAATCACTTTTTTGGGAGTGCTAATGCCTGAACAACTTCAATTTTGGATTTATGTCTTCTTTTGATATGACGCTTTAGATAAGATAAGTATTTTTTGCAAAACACATAAAACCGATCGGACTATTTTTTGTCTTTTTGCTTGAATATTGAAATAAAAA